GAAAAACTATTAAAAAAAAAAAGGAAAAGCAAGAAATCCTGTGTGGAAAGTTCAGAGGTTATTGTTGATATTCTAGCTCTTAGGTTGGGCCATGGGTTCACGGGTGGTCATTAGAGTATCAATTAAAAAAAAAAAAAGGATTTGAATTACAGTTTGATGACGACAGCTGGGGGTGTGGGGCAGAGGGAGAGGCTTCCTCAGGCTAGACAGAGTCAGAGAAGTCTCCAGAATCAGCTAGACCTTCATTTGCACAACAATGCTTACTGGCTACTTAACTCTGTGCCAGGCATTATAAGAGGTAAGGGGATACCGTGACCCAGAAGGTCATGGTTCCAGACTCAAAACACAGCATAAAAGCAAACAGCAATCGGTATGAGAAACACTGATTTAGACCAAGGATCAGTTAACTGTGGTCTACAGTCTTCTGCGCCCTGTTTTATAAATAAAGTTTTATTGGAACATAGCTGTGCCCATTCATTTACAGACTGTCTTTGGCTGTTTTTGTGACACAACGGCAGAATCAGTTGCTGTGACTGAAACTATACAGCCTGCAAAGTGTAAAATATTTACCACTTGGTCCTTTACAGAAGGTTTTCCACCCCCTGATATAAACCCCTTATATTGAGAGTAGCATTCATTAAGTTCAGCAGGGGGATCACAAAGGACTGTTTTAGAACCAAACAACTGGGAAGGCCTCATACAGTGGATACTGGAAAGCAAAGATACAGTAGGCAGAAGACTCCTGACTTGTTTGAACTCGAGGGTATGGACCCTTAAGGGAATGCAAGAAGGGAAACTAGGTTTTGGGGAGGGTTGGGAGTATCCTACAACATAAAAAGGTGGTGACAGGCTGGCCTTCCCCATTCTCCACTGGAAAGAGCGGGTACTCACCCCTCGCCCCAACCTCCATCTTTGGGCAGTGAGGCCTTCTACCTAGACATCTTTATGAAACTCGGGGCCTGAGGAACACCAGTAAACAGGCTGGTGGTCACCTGAAATCCCTCCTCCTTTCAACCTTCACCACAATCCTATGAACTTCTGAGAGATCCTCCCTTTCATAGATGAAGTAACTAAAGCTCAGAGAAGCTAGATCAACAAAAATGGGACATTTTATGAGAAAATCTGGATTTCCAGCTTTTCTGGAAGAACCTGAAGACATGGCAACCCTGAACCTATCTTCCCTTACCACCACAACTGGCTGGGGCTGAGCGGTGGCTACTTCAGATGAGGCATATGTACATTTCTTACTGGGCCTGCTCCACTTCTCTATTTCTGTCCCCTGTATATCCCTGGAAGTAATACCCAGCAGGTGGCTTTATAGGCTTCCTCTATCACCCACTTTACCCTCTTTCTTTCAACTATATTTTATTCTCCACAAAAATTTTATTGTTCCACTTAAGATTCTTGTATTGGCTCAACTTAGTGACACTGAACATGGCAAGGTTACTTTTACTTGTTGACAGCTCACTGGGCCAGACTCTATTTTTCTTCCCTCTGACTGCACACGCATCCAATAGGGTGTATGTCCTGCATACAAGGGCCACTGGGTAGAAAGGGGACCTACTCTATGTTTCATCAGCAGTCTGCAGGGCCCTTGTCAGAATCTGGAAGTTGGCACTAGGATGCAAGAATGACACATACCTTCCCTGTATCTGAAAGTCAACACTGTCCGCTAGATAGGAATCTTAATTCCCATTTGCTCTTCTTTGCCTCACTTACGGTTAGCTGAGCTATACGATCTAGAAACTTTTGAGCAGTTGTAAGGGATCAGCTGTCCACAAATTGTACTAGGCTCCACTCTAAATCCCACTGGCAAGAATGTGGCAGTTAAGAGTGGGACACAGGAGTCAGTCGGTCTGGGTCCAAATCCTGGCCCTACGTTAACTTAGGCAAGTTACGAAACCTCTCTGAAAAAGGGACTAATAATGGTATCTACCTAATATGGCTGCTGTAGAGATTAAATTACATATTACATGTAAGTGTACAAAATTCCTGGCATACAGTATAGGCTGTTAAAATATTAGCTGCTAGTAGTATTACTATTGTTAGTTATGACAATTAACACCACGTTCCACTAAGAGATCTGTAACCAAAAAGGACTTAAAAAAAATTCCAAGGGAGTTTTTTTTTTTTTTTCCCCCAAGGGAGTTTCTTATATAAAGCTCCACATACAAATTTCCCAGGTTTGATGAAAATGAGTTTGGAAACTCTTTTCTAGTTAAGGCTTCCTTTAATATCAACAATAGGCTTTAAAAAGTGGGTATTTTTTTTCCTCCCTTAAAATGGTCTTATTTTTTCTTAATACCTTAAACACATATATGGGCAGCATGTTGGTGGTAAGACTAGGGTGCTTAGAAATGACATGAAAACATCAATTACTGATTCATGTTCCTGCTGCATTCCAAACACTCAGCAAACAGAAGAGCAACAGAAAAGGTCCAAATCAAGCAGTTTGGTGTGACATATGAAAATGAATCCGGAACTAAACCTCCTGGGTTCAAATCCATGCCCTACAATTTACTGGCTGTGACCCTGGCCAAGTTACTTTTTTGTGCCTCAGTTTTCTTATCTGTAAAATGGGCGTAATGACAATACCTATTTCAGAGCTACTGTGAAGTCAGCATATTTAAAGACTGGCAAATAATAAACACTGTTTGTGTGAACTATTATTATTAAGAGAAGAGATAGCTAGGACAAGAAGCCACAGAGAAAGGCTTCTTTCAAGAGGTGACTCACGTTTGGCCAGTTTGCTCAGTCTTAATAAGGATGTTAAGCAGGAGCCTCCAGATCCTCCGAAAGATCCATGGACACTCACCAGAGATGTGGCCAGGCTCATGCTAGGAGCAGAAAGAGCCTTCCCTTGGGTCTGATTTAAGTTCCCACAGGGAACCAGTAATGAAAGACAAAGGACAATGGAGAGAGCCACAGGCCGTCCTGATGTGGAATCCGTGGCAGTTTCCCTTTTCTTCTCTACCTCACTCTTTAGGTGGCATGGTACCAAACCATATGTTCTATCTTTCATTAGTGGTTTTTCAAAAAGCTGTACACATCCAACAGAAGGTTACTACAGTTATTATCATCATCCAGTATCCCAGAGGTTCTAAAATGCCTTCCGTCTTTCCCAGAACCTCCTCTTTCCTACTCAGGACTAACTACAAAATTGTTTTTTTCTAGAACTGAGCAATTTCCCACATTTCAAGCAGCCGGTCGTTTTATTCAATAACCGCATTCTTAACGCAGTGCTCCACAAAAAGCCTAGGGGTAGAGGAGAGGGGGTGATTAACTTAGGGATATGAGCTCCAGATGATTTAGAGGCTCTGAACAGTGTGGGGAACTGAGTGCGGCTGCAAGGCTGGTCTCAGGATGAGGATATTCTGGTCGTGGGCGACTAATTAATTGTTGAATAAAACCCATAAAAATTCTGTTTTAGGGGCTGGGGAGAGCTGCCTTCCAGATCCAATCAGGAACGAGTCCATACAAATACACATCACAGCCCTGAACTAGAGGCCAGAACACTGGGATGGGGGAAAGGAGGGGTTGGGCTTCCCAGGAGGAGGAAAAAGAGGCCAGTGGGGTGGCAGGGCTGACAGCAGCGACAGGTAAGGTTCCAGGGGCCCAGCTCACCTTTCACCAACCAGGTGGCAGTGGCAGCTGAAACAGAAGCTTTTTCGTTCCCCACCCCTATGCCCAGCAAGACTGCATGGGTGGCCAGGGAGCCTGAGAGGCTGGAAGCAAAGGCCTGGAGAGGAAAAAGGGTGGGGTGAGTGGGTGCCTGGGTGGCTCAGTTGGTTAAGAGACTGCCTTCGGCTCAGGTCGTGATCCTGGAGTTCCGGGATCGAGTCCCACCCACATCGGGCTCCCCGCTCAGTGGGGAGTCTGCTTCTCCCTCTGACCCCCTCCCCTCTCATGCTCTCTCACTCTCTCTCAAATAAATAAATAAAATCTTTAAAAAAAAAAAGGTGGAGTGAGGAGTGTGCGCAGGGGCACGGAGGTCTAAGTTCTATTATCAGCTCTCATAGATGTGTGACCTGAAACATGTCACAGCCCCGCTCTGGGCCTCAGTCTCCAACCTCTACATGCAGACGGGTGGCCCGCATTGTCTCCCTCACCCGTGGCTCCATGCTGCCCCCGACCCCGGTCGGCCAGGCTGACCTGCACGGAATCCCACAGCTGGTAGGGCAGGTAGTCCGGGCTGACGCTATCGGGGAAGCCCTGCGGCAGGAACACGGCCGTGAGCCCCGAGAGAGGCGGTGAAGCGGCCCCGGGAGTCCCCCCTGCGCCGCCGTCCCGTCCTCGGGGTTTTACTGTGAAGGGCCCAGAGAACCCCCAGCAGCGCCACCCCCAAGCCTCCCACTGCAGGCTCCCGTCGGCGGCGGCGAGGCAGCCCCGGGCCGCCCCGGAACCGAACTGCTCGGAGCACAGCTGGGCCGCAGGGCTCCCGCCGTCAGCCATGTCAGAACTCGCCCGGCGCGGCCTCTACACGCGAAACGCGGCCGAACTACATTTCCGGCTCGGCTACGGCGGCTCTAGAGGGGCAATCTTTCTCTGCGAAGGGGCCGCCGGCCGCTGCGTCCTCCTCTGTCCCGCTCAGGATCCCACACTTCCTCCCGGGGCCTCTGGGCCCCGCTGCGGATACCTCAGGGCTGCTCTCTGCCTTTGTTCTCTGTAGCATTTTGTTGCTGGGCCGCGGGAGCCATCGGAGCCCTTGAGCCCGCCAAGTCCTGGAGAGAGCTGCGGTCCTGTAACCCGCAACTTTCAGCTATGGGCGGAAGGGAAGAGGGCATCCCCGGGGAACCGCTGTGTTTGAGACCCAGGACGGCCACAGGGTTTTTTGATTTGGGGCGAGTCAGTGTCCCTCCCTGGGCTTAGGTGCCTTCTTTGTTGTGACAGCAGGGACTATATATTACTCCTTATTTTATGCCCGGCATCTAACACATAGTAGGTGCTGAAAAGATATTATGAACGGGGGCGCCTGGGTGGCTCAGTCGTTAAGCGGCTGCCTTTGGCTCAGGTCATGATCCCAGCGTCCTGGGATCGAGCCCCACATCCGGGCTCCCCGCTCAGCAGGGAGTCTGCTTCTCCCTCTCCCATTCCCCCTGCTGTGTTCCCACTCCCCCTGCTGTGTTCCCACTCCCCCTGCTGTGTTCCCACTCCCCCTGCTATGTTCCCACTTCCCCTGTTGTGTTCCCGCTCCCGCTGTCTCTGTCTCTGTCAAATAAATAAATAAAATCTTTATATAAAAAAAAATACTATGAATGAATGAATGAACAAACAAAGGAATGCATGATGAGAAGTTGGAGCAAATGATCCCCGAGGTCCTGTGCCTTACCCAAGACTGGAAGAGTAGTATCTCTTTTCTTTCTTTTTCTAAAATTTAAATTCAATTTAGTTAACATACACTGTATTAGTTTCAGAGGTAGAATTTAGTGACTCATCAGTTGCATATAACACCCAGTGCTCATCACATCAAGTACCCTCCTTAATGCCCATCACCCAGTTACCCCATCCCCTGACCCACCTCCCCTCCAGCAACCCTCAGTTTGTTTCCTAGGGTTAAGAGTCTCTTATGGTTTGCCTCCCTCTCTGTTTTCATCTTATTTTTCCTGGAAGAGTATTATTTCTGAAAGGATCCTTAGGACATCTGAAAAATGAGAAAATCAAGGGATTGCAGCTAATAGTCTCAGAAAATGAGAAATAGAGAAGTTCTTGTGTGTTTATTGGTGGAAAGGGTCCATGAAATTGGGGTGAGAGTCTAAAGACAGAGTGTTTCTCTCTCTCCTAGCTCATCTCTTTTTCTCTTTCCCTCTCTCCCTTTCTCCTTCCATCTTGTGTAATGTACGGATTCCAAAGTAGAAATTTGCCAGAAGTGCCCTCTTTTTTATCAGAAAATAAAACATCCTCGTTTCTTACGCTGGCTTTCTTGGACTCCCACAGTCTGACTCCCTGGTTTAAACTTCTGATTCTCCTGAACTATCACCTTCTTCTTGGACCTCAGCCTGGAACACCCTTCTACCCTGCCTCACCTTATCTGAGACCTACACAGAGTCTCTCTGATGCTAAGATAGACCTGGGGCACTTCATTATTCTTTTCTTAAGTTTTGAGTTTCGTGTTAGAGTGAAGAATTGAAGGGTTACAAATGTGTAATATTTTTATTTATTTATTATTTGTTTATTATTTATTTAAGTTTTTATTTAAATTCCAGTTAGTTAACATAAAGTGTAATATTAGTTTCAGGGGTACAATTCAGTGATTCAACATTTCCATACAGCACCCGGTGCCCATCACAACAAGTGCACTGCTTAATCCCCATCACCTACTTTACCCATCCCCCTACCCACCTCCCCTCTGGTAACCATCAGTTTGTTCTCCATAGTTCAGAGTCCGTTTCTTGGTTGGTCTCTCTCTGTCCTATTTTTTTCCCTATGCTCATTTGTTTTGTTTCTGAAATTCCGCATATGAGTGAAATCATGGCATTTGTTTTTCTCTGACTGATTTATTTCGCTTAGCCTAATACTCTAGCTTCATCCATGTAGTTGCTGATGGCAAGATGCCATTCTTTTTAATGGCTGAGTAATATTCCATTGTGTGTGTTTTGTATATAATATATAAATATTAATTAATAAATATATATGTATATATCACATCTTCTTTATCCATTCATCAGTCAATGGACACTTGGGCTGTTTCCATAATTTGGCTATTGTAGATAATGCTGCTATAAATATTGGGCTGCATGTATCCTTTCAAGTTAGTATTTTTGTATTCTTTGGGTAAATACCAAGTAGTGCAATTGCTGGATCATGGGGTGGTTCTATTTATAACTTTCTGAGGAACCTTCATACTGACAAATGTGTAATATTTTAAATATTAGCTTCTGTGAATGCATTGAACTCTGAAGCCAACCTCTATGAATGAATTCCTTCAGAGAGCCTTAGTTTGAATCCAGGTTCTGTTACTTAGTATCTGTGAGATCTTGGGCAATTTTCTTATCTTTCTGTTCTTTAGTTTCTTCATCTATAAAATGGGAATAATACTAATATCTACCACAATAGGTTTGGATTGAGCATTAAATAAATCACATGTGTAAAGCTCTTAAATTATGTTTGGCACACAGTACATGCTATTTAAGTGTTGGCCATTATTTGGAGCTAATGTCAAGTATTCAAATATGGGTTTTTTTTCTCCATATGAGGCAAGTGGCCCTCATGACTAGCATCACCATATAACTCATTATCCAAATCAGAATTTTTGAGCATGTCATTAGAGGAGGCACTATTAACAGTTACACTGGGGAAACAGACTGGAGCTGTTCTGGGCATATTGGTATATATTGTCACACTAATCATGAACCTCTCAGCTTTACTGACCACCATTACCCACATTGATTTCTTCTCCTCAGAGACCATGGCAGCCCTTGTTCACTGTAGCACTTATTTAGCCCTTAGCATATGCTTTCTGGAGCCAGTTGGTATTTGCTTTTATTAGGTACCTATGTCCTGTCTTTCCAACTGAACTATAAGTGAGGACAAGGACTCATCATACACTTCTTTGAGAAGTGTCCAGATCAATGGCTTGACAAAGAGATGAGTGATGGTTCCCCTTTTCCTACCCCCAGGAAACCTCTTGGTAGTCTGCATTCAACAGAATACCAAACATTGGGCAGAATAGTCCAAGCTGCTTGTCTCCTTGACTTTACTCTCATTGATCCCCACACTTCCACTACTGCTCTCTTACAGTCCACTCTCCATGAAGTTTAAAGCTCCTCTGTTTAAACTTTTCAGTGGCTTCCTATTACTTTTGTGGAAGAAGATTGCAACATTCTCCTCCAAACCCTTCAGTGGTTTTTCTTCACACTTGGAAATGAAACACAAACTTCTTGTCATGACCCACAAAGCTCTGTAGATTGGGTCTTGCCCTATCTCTCAGATGTTGCCCTTACCATTCATCCTCTTATTCCTCCCACTAGAACATAAGCTCCAGGAGGACAGGAACTTTGTCTTTGGCACTGAATATATTCCTAGTACCCTGTTCCAGTGTCTGGTGCAAGGTAGGTGCCAAATATCAATTTGTGGAATGAATGAATTTATTTTCTCAATAGGACTTGTAAGGTAGTTATTTTTTTTTTCTTCCTTCTTTGCAAACAAGGAAACTGAAATTTATATATGGGAAGTGACTTCACCAACGTCACAGAGCTGAAAAGCGGCAAAAGCATTCATTTATTTATTCATTCAACAAATATTTAGTGAACAGCTGCTAGGCCTAGTTCTTCTAGGCTCTGAGGCAGGATTCAAATTTGAGGCTGATGATTTTAGAACTACACCATCTTCTTTCTATCTTTTAAATTTTGTATTCTTTGTAAGAATTATAAAAATAATAGAAGGATGCATTCTTTCTGTGAAATAATTCAAACAATAACATAGATAGGTAAGGTCAATTTCTCCCTTGACATTTATTCCTTTTTACATTTCCCAGCAAATACTAATCAATCCCCACAAGTGAACATTGTTTACTATTCTAGACACACACACACACACACTTAGAGAGAGAGAGAGAGAGTTTTATGTTTAATCCTTACTCCTATAGGGTAGTCTGCTCTGTGGTTCATTTAACATTATCTTAAAGATTTTTTTTATTTATTTGTCAGAGAGAGAGAGAGAGAGCACGAGCCGGGGAAGCAGCAGGCAGAGGGAGAAGCAGGCTCCCCACTGAGCAGGGAGCCTGATGTGGGACTCGATCCCAGGACCCTGGGATCATGACCTGAGTCAAAGGCAGACACTTAACTGACTGAACCACCCGGACGTCCCTTTTTAACATTATCTTAGATATCTTTTCATATCAGCACATAAATATCTATCTCATTTATTTTAATAGCTGCATGTCATGCCATAGTATGAATATGCCATAATTTCTTTAATGACTCCTCATATTAATGAGCGTTTGGGTTTTTCTGCCTTTTCATTATTACAAATAATTTCATTATTATTATGGCAAATTCCTTGTACAGGCCTTTCTGTGCATTGAATTGAATAATTCTTTAAAATAGAGTTCAAAGCAGAATCATTGGATTGAAGCATATGCATATTTTAATTTGAACAAGTATTGTCAAAATTATCCTTCTAAAAATCTTTACCAATTTACACTCCTGCTAACAGTGCATGGAACTGCTTGTCATAATCAGGATATATATATTTCTATTGTCCAAAAAATTTCCCTTGGGCAGCTTTGCATTTTATTTTATTTATTTTTAAAGATTTTATTTATTTATTCGACAGAGACAGAGACAGCGAGAGCAGGAACACAGCAGGGAGAGTGGGAGGGCGAGAAGCAGGCTTCCTGCTGAGCAGGGAGCCCGATGTGGGACTCCATCCCAGGACCCTGGGGTCATGACCTGAGCCGAAGGCAGACGCTTAACGACTGAGCCACCCAGGCACCCGGGCAGCTTTGCATTTTAATCTCCACTCTTGTGTTTGGATCTGCTTTCTGTCACTATCGCCTATTTT